GACGCGGTGTACGTCAAAGTTGGCCATTCTCGCTCTTATCAGCAGAGGAATGACCGAATTGGGGCCCCCTCCGGGGAGCTCTTCGAGATAAAAGGTGATAGGTTCCAACATGCCCTTCACCTTTTCAAAAGTCACCGTTTAAGAGGGGCCGTGTCGACCAACTCGTCCAGCTTCCTCTTGGCTGAATTTATGGTCAGGTCATTGAACCCTCCACCATTGATGATCATGGCGGAGGGAAAGTGCTCCCACATGCTGTGCATCGACAGCGGTTCTTGGATGTGGTCGGGGATGTAGAAGTCCTCGGGTCTTGTGACGGAGAAGGCGGTTTGGATGGGAACCGACTCGCGAGCATCACAACGAGGAGCGTCGTTTCGCTGGTACTGGGCGAGTTTCCCCCCTTTTATGAGGGTCTCGATGGCGTCTTTGAGGTGGACACAATCTTCAGTCAGATGGCCATGGCTCCGGTGGTACTAACAATATTTGCTCCTGTCCACCCCGAGTTTGGCAAGAGCTGGTCGGGGACGCTTGACGCCGCCATCTTTGAAGTCTGTACTTGCACACTCCGCTAAGATGCGCTCGCGGGAAGCCGTTAGCGGAGTGTACTATGTGAAACGCCCTGAAGGCCCCCTCTGCTCTCGGATGTCCTGGGGTTTATCGTCTTTTCTTTTTTCCCCGGTTCGTCGAGGAGGGACGACCTCTTGGTGCGGATTGCTGCTGGATCTGCGATTCCTGGGGCCTCAGGCTCTGTTGGCCGCTTCCCTCTCCTCGTAATCCATGTAGGCCCTGGCCTTCTCGAGGAGAGCATCAAACGTTCGGGGTGGTTCGATGCCCACGGCTTTCTTGAATTCTGTGCCGGGGAAGAGGCCCTTCTCCAGCAGGTATCTCTTCATATGGTCCGTGCAAGGGACCTGGATGGTTTCCCGATTGAAGCGGTTGATGAATTCTCTCAAGGTCTCATCCTACCTCTGGATGATGGCCTCGAGCGCCGCTTCGATCTTTGGATGTCGTCGCAACGCAGTGAATGAGCTTATGAACTGGTTCTTCAAGTTTTGCCACGAGGTAATTGACCCCGGGGCGAGACCCTTGTACCAGTCCATAGTTACTTTCCTCAGGTTCGTGGGGAACAAACGACATTTGATTGATCCCCCGACATTGTGGTAGTGCAACATGGCCTCGAACTCGTCTATGTGATCGACCGGGTCGGCGACTCTGTAATACTCTTTCAGGTGTGGAGGCTTCTACATGCCCGGGGAAATGGGTGCCTCCATGATAGCTTGTGATATAGGACCGCGAGGGTCGTCCTCATCACTTCGTTCCGGGGAGCGGGACGAGAACCTGATGTATTGACGGTCACGATGGCTCTGGTCGTGTTGGACGTTCCTCGAGCGATGTGTTTGTTGATAGGTTCCTCTGTGTCTGTCTCCGGGAGGTCTTCGTTCTTGCCGTGAAGGGACATGGTCGCGCCTTTCGATCTCGATGAGTGGTTCTCTCTCCAAGGCAGGTCGCCGCCCGAGTGGTCGGGGCGACAGGCTTCGAGAGATGTCCTGATCCTGTCTCCACGGGGGAGATCGGGGACGTTCCTTCATTCTTCGAGGAGGTGGGGATTGAGGCCTCCTGTGTCTCCTCGGGGGCCTTCAGTCGTCCTCAAATGCTCTCAGTCTTTCTCCTTGGGCAAAGATGAGATAGTTGATCTGGTTGATTGCCGCGAATAGTGCCCTGGTCGTGGCGTCTGCCCCAGCGGGGACAGGAACCTCATGGAACTGGACGGCTAGATAGTTCGGGGGAACTGGATTATCTTCTTCAAGCCGAGGAGGGACTGATGAAGACGAGGTTGTGGCTCCATCCTAATAGTTAGAGATTCCGGGGATGTTGCCGCCGGAGGCAGTGATACGGGCGGCGACGTCAGCGTTGTTGGGACCAACATTGTTATCGGCGAGGTTGTTGTTGGCCTCGATGAGGCGGACGTTCTGGTTGTCCTGGGTCTGATCAGCCATGACGGTGGAAGATGGTTTTAGCTTTGGTCTTTGTAAGTTTGTAAGACGAGGAAGCTTGGTTTCCCACAGACGGTGTCACTGATCGTACCTGATCAGAGTTGGACCGTCACAGCTGGTTCGAACTGAATTTGAAGGAGATGGAAGAGGTATCTACAAGACACTCCGATAACAAAGTGAGAGACGGAATGAACAGGCGAATTGTATATAGGTGTGAATGAATGAATACCTGACCCTCTTGAAATAAAGGGTATTTATAGCCTCCAGCGCTGGGCTAAGGTCCCTTTATTGGGCTGACCAAACAGGTCTAACAAAGGGACTGCCAGGTTCTACGTGAGTAGTGGGGACCTGCACGTGGTCCCCTACCTGGATGATGCTCTCCGCAGAATAGGGAGGGTGAAGACGTGATCTTCTCGGAGCTCTGAGGACTCCGAAACATCCGGAGGGGTCGAGAGTCTGCCCTACGAAGAGGGTACTCGAACAAGGCTTGGATTGGGATGTTCCTCGTTTAGGGCGTCTCTCGTCGCGGGCACCGGCGGACATGATCGTATTCGACCTATAGCCCGTGATCGGATATGCTTGGAGAATCTAATTCCCAACATAACACGTGACACGACTTGAATTGGACCTTACTGGTAATTTGGGCCATGGACAAGCCAAATTCAGAACACTTTCTATTTAAAAAAATAAATCTATGAGTAGTTTAAAAAAAATCTAAATAGGTTAATTGATTTGTCCTATTCTCATCCCTATTGAGAAATACAACCAACTTTTCTTCAATTTAGTTGTCTTTTGAGTATGTTAAGATATTGATTTCCAATAAATTAATAAATTTTAAAATTGTTTTCATTCAGGAAACCCCACAACCTTTCAAGAAAGAAAAAAAAAAAAGAGATGTTGATAATAAGTGTTATATTTATTTTGTTTTCACCGAAGAATTAATTGCATATTTAGTTTTCACCGATATGAACACAAAACCGAACATGAATCAAATAAATCTTTTTCACATCTATTCAGGTCTATCCTGATTGTCAAGATTCTAGATTCGGTCAAAAAGAGTAAAACTGGACATTACGATCATGTTCTTTGTTGATAATGATACTAACCAAATAAGGGAAAGATTGTGGAACAACGATCTAAAGAAAGTTGTGCATTTGGATAGAATCAATGAATCAATGGAACATGTCGGGAACTTACTATATTCAATATCATTTTATAAATGTTGAATTTTACCTTTTTTGAGATTTGACAGAACTTGTTTTACATATAATGAAGTTGGACATGGTCCCTATTTGACAAGTTTAGCTCTAATGTTGCAACAACTTAAAACGTGAACTATTTTGCTTTGTTATTCATAGAAAACTGTAACACAGACTAGTGTGAAGCTTGTTTAGTGTCCAGACACAACACTTCAGCTTGCTATCGGATTAAACAAATCAAGAACTACATAGTTAACAATCTTTTTTGTAATCAAGAACATTTTTGGAAAATGCATACTTGTCCTCAAAGTGACATGATGTATTGAGATCATTAAGTGATATAAATGACAAATTACAATACTAATGTACCTCTATTGAATTCAATACCAGAATTATGTGTAAATATTTATGACAGGTGAAAATCTATACCAGGTAGCATCTAAGTAATGTATAACTAGAAGCAACCCCGAGTTTTAAAATACATTTTATACACAAATAAAGACCTTTTGAAACAACTGGTAAATACTCAGCTGAATGCAGACCTTTCTCTAGAGAGATGAAAATTCTGTACCAGTCAGTATCATCTGAATGGGGAGTAAGGATTGATGCACATTACCTCTTCATCCTTTATACAAACATTTGCTCTGTGAGACTTGAATAACTCTAATGCAAAAGGAGTCACGTGAACACAACCATTCAAGTACAAAACCGAGAGACTTCTGCAACCGTCTCGTAATGCCTGCAGGCCATTATCATTGAGATTACGGCATCGATTAACATGCAGTCTCTTCAAATTCTGACAATATAACCCCACTGCTTGCCATCCAGATATCCTCACCTCATGACATAATGCTAAGTTCCATTCTTCAAGTAGTGTACATCCCATGGCTATTGCAACAATAGAAGTATCGGAAACAGATCTGCACATTCGAAAGTTAAGGACTTTGAGGTTTGAGGACAATCTTATTCCAAGCAAGGTATCTCCTAAGGGATACCAACTTAAACAAGATACGTCTAGATACTCTATACCACCGCCACTAATTATTCCCGTCACCCCTTCTGGGTTGAGCTTACAAGACCAAGCCTCTACATGTGTGAGAGATTTTGAACACCCTTTGAAGCCAACACCTCTTATACTCTCACAGTGTGATATGTTAACTGCCTGAAGCTGACGACACCTCTGAGTAAGAGCTTTCAACCCTTTGTCGGATATTTGTGAGCAGTACGAGAGGTTTATGCATTTCAAAGATAAACAAGCAGTGGCTAAAGTCTCTAATCCGTCATCAGAAATGTTGATACACCGATAGAGACTAATTGACGTCAATGAGGGACAACCAGAAGCAACCAGGGATAGCCCGTAATCAGTAACTTTCAAACAACAATCTAGATTAAGTTTCTGTAAATTCGAACCATAGCTTAGCAGACGGGTTAATCCTGAATCATTGAGCTCCGTACAACCACATAAGGATAAAGACTCTAAATGTTGAAAGCGCATCAGTAGCCTATGGAGATGGACAGTATGAACATCAAGACCCTTTCTCGACAAAGAGGATGGATTTAATATACTGAATGAACACTCAAATTGCAGTGACCGGCGGTTGAAATTCTGAATATGGAGCCACCGTCGACAAGTCAAGCCAAACGATTCACGATCAGCACGACAATCTAAAGCATGGAAAATAATAGTAAGGCAGTCATCCGGTAGATGAATAATTGAGGTAGCACCAATTTTGGTAAGATCGTCCATGTCAACCTTTTCAAGACTCATCTGAAGAAGGCTGTAACGATCGAATCTTTACCGAGAATTTCGTCAAAGAGCTCGACGAAATGGAAGGCTCACATCCACAAAGTGCAGGTGATTGTCCACTATAACCATAACCAATGAGAACTCCACATTTACGGCAAAGCAGTTTAGTCTTTGAAGGACACAACCATGAGACTGGAAGACAATTTATTTCATCAACCTGTGTAAAGCGGCTGAGATCAACTGATGAAAAGGAGATTGACCCTTTCTTAACAGACTTTTTGTATTCTGATGCAATGTTAGATGTGATTCGATTTGAAGATGTCAAATTCAGAGGGTATCCACATGAGCCACAGCTGCAGTGGATGCCAAAATCTCAAAACACAATTAATCAAAAACTAACCCTAGAAAACACAAGTCAACAGAATCTAATCTAACATTAGAACTAAACTGACCCACATGAAAATTTCTAAACTTTATAATCACAAACCATGAAAGCATACAAAATCACATAATCAAACAAGAAAAACAACAACACCAATGAAAAAAAACACACAAGTCAATAGAACTAAACAGACCCACATGAAAATTTCTAAACTTTATTATCACAAACCGCAAAAGCATACAAAATCACATAATCAAACAAGAAACAACAACAAAACCGATGAAGAAAACCTAACAATCACTGAAACCACCGCACCGCACCGAACAGAATAACAAAGATGAAGAAAGAATTACCAGTAAGAAACGTCAGTTTGTGACATCCTCAGTTTGATGATGAGTAATTGAAATTGCAATCGGCATGTTCGTCCATAATCGATTATTAGTCTGATTTTGATGAAAAGAATGAAATTGGGAAAATCGGTTTTCAATTCAATTTTGGTATCTCTTTGTCGATTTTTTCTTTTCTTCTTTCTTAAACTCTACCCAAATTCCATAAATGTCACTCGGTGTTAACATTAGAAGACGCGTATGCAAAAATTAAATTTTAATAAAATAACGGTTGGTGGTGTTTAGACGGTGTTGCCTTTTTATATGGAAATATAAAAATATTGAGGAGAATTAGGAAATTGAATTTTAATTAATGCATTAAAAGATTTTTATATCATTCTACTATATTATTTAAATAATTTAAAATTTTTAGTCTGACTTGACAGAATGAATGGTCGTCATAGGTTGTTAGTATATTATTCATTTTCTATGATTATATATGTTAGATGAAATATATTTTTAATTGTGTTGATAATTGAACACATGGTTTTATTTTTATGTTTAATGAATAGATCATTGAGATCGTACCACCATAAATGTGATATGTTAGTGTAATTGAAATGACGAGACACATGTATATCTGATTTGAGTTGACTCATTGATGTTTGTAACACTGAAAACATATTAGCGCTTGTCGTAACTCAAAATTGCCCTACTCCGATGATCTTGTTTTCTAAGATCAAAATAATAAAGAAGCGTTTAACTAAGGATGGTACAGTAATTTCTGATGGTCCATTCTTAATATTTAAATCAATCAGGGGTGTATTTTTAATTCAGGAAAATGAGGCTTTCTTAAATCAGAAAGACTCATATGTCCGTAAACTCATTCACGAAGCATGTTGGCCTATGGCCCATGCGATTCAAAAATGGAAAATTATTCAAATAATCGTTATGTCCTTAATTCTTAAAACCAACTTAAGTTTATGTTGTTATTAGTTGAAATTAAATTAAAGTCATCTAGGAATTTTTTGTTATTAGTAAAGAAAGGGGGTGTGGAATTTCAATAAGCCCATCTGAAATTGTTGTCGTTATCAAGCGAATGAGGAGTACAATTACGAATAACAAGTCCATTACAGTTCTTTTAAATTTAGCCCATTTGCTTTTTGTTTTAGAGAAAATTAATTAAAAAAATATTTTCTGATATTATAGTAAATTTACTAAAATAAGATTTTTTATAAAAATACTTTGTTATTAAACTTTATTTTATTATTAAGAGTTTTTTTTGGGAAAAAATATGTGTTGGGTCAAGTTACAAAAGCCAGTTAGGCCCAATTCACACTAAATATGTTTGTTATAATTAGTTGATGTTCTTGCAGTATAGTCTGGAAAAAAACGCATTGGGCTAAGAGCAAAAAAAAACACAGGCTCAAATATCATCTAACAGCCACTGTGTCAATTAGAACCAAAAAAACACATGTTTTTATCAATAATCATTACTGTTCCAATTTGCAAAATTAGCGCACGATTTGTGTCACTAACAGTTATTATAGGGATTAAAACAAATTAAAATCAAATCTAAAATTAAACTAAATCAAATCTTATCACAACAAATCTGCAAATATCAGTACAAACATTACATATTAAATCCAAAAAATTACAATATTCTCAATCGATAATTACATAATCAAATATTACAAGATTACAAAATCTCAGAATCAAATCTAACAAACAATCTGAATCACTAATATACAGAAAACTCAAATTAAATCCAAATCCATTTCAATACTTTTCAGAATCAATTACAAACAAAAAAAAAAAAACAAAATTTACAGGAGACTTAATCTAATCAAATCTCAGAAAGGGATGAAAACGGATCAAATCTTACAACATTAATTTGATTACAAAATAAATCAATTTCAAATCTAAAAACAATAAGACTTACTGTAAAACAAAATCAAATCTAGCCCAATAAATTACAAAATCGATAATAGCCCTAATTTGTAACAACAAATATCTAAAGAAAACCTAGATACCAAGCCTATAAATAGAGAAGAAGACCTACTGAAAAAGGGTCGGAAAAAATAAGGAAAAGAAGCTTGGAGATGGAGACGGAAGTTCGGGACAAACCCTTGTTGTTGAATCCACAGAAGAAAAGTGATTAGAGTTTCCAGATCGGAAACCCTAATCACCCCTTGAACATCGCCGCTCAAGCTTCCATTGTCATTCTTTCCATCACCTTCAAAGCCTGTGGATCAAAAAGAAGAACAAGAGAAAGAGATTAGTGACCGAAATTAAAAGTCAGAAGGTCGCGAAAGGTAGTAAAAATGGCTTAACTCTATTTTGTTGTTCGTGATTGTTGGTTTGGTGGATAAAAGATTAGGGTCGGGGTTTGTGCCACCAGGAGGTGAGCGTTAGGTTAAAGGAGAAGGTGAGAGGGTTTAGGTTGTTAGTGAGAGAGAGAGAGAGAGAGAGAGAGAGAGAGAGAGAGAGAGAGAGGAGAGAGAGAGAGAGAGAGAGAGAGAGTGAGAGAGAGAGAGAGAAGAGAGAGAGAGAGAGAGAGAGAGAGAGAGAGAGAGAGAGAGAGAGAGAGAGAGAGAGAAGGGATGAAGAATGGGCCACTGTAAAACAATAAGTGTTTTGTAAAAATGAAATAAAAATGATTTATATTTTATGAAATCCAATACAATCACACCCACCATAATAGCATGCTCCCTCGTTTAGCATCACGTGATCTCAATCAGGCGGCCATGAGTTCAAACCGCACCATAAGGTCCATGCTCCGTGTAGGAGGGCAATCATCTCGTCCTCTTCAAAAATGCGTTGGGCCTAAGCCCACTACTATGTGCACCCCCCCCCCCCCCCCCTTTCAACTATTTACTAAGTATCAAAACAAATCACACCCCATTTGTCCAGAATTATAGTTGGGCCAGTCAGTATTGTTTTTAGCACCCCCCTGTTTTTTACTTCATAACTGGGATTACACCCCCCAGGTTTGCTTAAACAATTATTACTTTTTTTATTTCTTTTATAGTTTTATATATATATATATTATTTTTTATTTATATTATATTTTATTAATTATTTATTACTATTATAATTATTATTGTTATTAATTTTTATTACTAATCTTACCTGATCAGACTTGGACCGTCACGACTGGCTCCGAGCAGAATTTGAGTGAGATGGGGGGGGGGTACCTGCAAGGCACTCCGATGCTAAAATGAGTGACGGAATGAGCAGGAAAAAAGTGTATGTATGCGTAAGAGATGAATACCCCGACCCTCTGGAAATAAAGGGTATTTATAGCCCCCAGCATTGGGCCAAGATCCCTTCATTGGGCCGACCAGAACTGGCCCAATAAAGGTACTGTCAGGTTTTACGTGTGTAGTGGAGACCCGCACATGGTCCCCTTCCTGGTGATTGCCTTGCGATAAATGAGGAGGGACGAAGACGCGGTCTTTCCGGAGTTTAGATGATTCGATAACGGTCATAGAGGACAAAATCTGCCCTACAGGGAGATTACTCGAGCAGGACTCGAGCTGGAGTTCCCTTGGTCGAGGACACCATGTGTCGCTGGCAACGGCGGGCATGGTGCAGTCTGTGGTCGGGCACGCTGGCGGGAATTCGCGGGCCGCGCATTCCTCGAGGAGCCTACTTGGATTGGGCCTTTATCACTGCTTTTGGGCCTGGACGGGCCCACCCCCAAGTCATTGCTCATGGAGCAGGAGTTATGACTTGACTTCAGCTCGCCTTTGCCCTGGGGTCTGATGCCCGGACCCAGGATGTCGCTCCCTCGTGCTTGCTCGAGGAATTTCTCACGAGTTGCGTTCGTAGCGTAATCCTCGTCGACGCGTGCTCGGGGAATTCCTCGCGGGATGCGTTTGTTAGATACACGAGGCAATCCTTGGGAACCGTGACGCCACCCCTAGCAACAGTAGGGCCGTTATTGCCTAGGGGAGTAGACATTGAGGAGGGGAAGTTCGTGGCTCCCCGAGGCGACATTTCGTATTCCACGTCATCCCTATAAATAGGATCCTTGGGTCCCATAATTTGTTTTTCCTCTTCGCGCTTCTCCTTCTTCCTCTGCCTTTATCGCCGTTGTTCTTCTACAACTTCGTAAGGTTACCGCATCTTCCTCCATTAATTTCTTTCACCGCTGCCATACATTCTTCTTTGCTTCCAAGTAAGTGTTTATCCCTCCTATTTTTCTTCGTTGTAGGTAGTTTTACCGTTATTTGATGTTAGAAACCCATATCTGGGATTAGTGCCCGGTATATTCATGTTTGTGTCCGGTAAACTCATAGCTTTAGGTATGTGACTCGCAATGCTGCCCGGGACCTTCATGGTTTTAGGCGCATAATCTATGATATTGCCTGGTAAACTCATAATTCTAGGTTTAAGATTCATGATATTGCTCATCATATTCATAGTTTAGGTCGGCGCACCCATGAGCTGGCCGGGAACGTTTGAACCACCTTAGGAAGTGTGTGGGAAAACTCGTCATGGCGTCTTAGCGTCGGGGAGGCGAAACCAGGATCTTTGTTCGAGTCCTCAATGTTTATACGCGCAGGGTGTTCATGCTATCCTCTTGTTGTTCCCGATGTCTGGTCGAGCGTGTCTGGCTTGTCATGCACTACTTCCGTCATTGTGGCGAGCATGCGGATTTGCTCTCGAATTTCACCGGTTTCCTGTGCTTTGCAGGTAAATGGCTGACGAACCGGAGTCTTCGAGGCGTAATGAGGTCGAAGACCAAAGTGCTGAAGAGAACGTGACTCTAGTTGATACCCGTCGATGATCCTTCGTTGGATTGGGTGGGTGCCGAACCCCGAGGGATTGCCTCGGCATATAGTCGGCGTAGTCGGCGAGCATACACTATCGTCGAACGTGAGGCGGGTAGTCAGCCAAGTTTCCAGAAGAATTTCGTTGTGACGAGGTCGTCCCTTGATGCAACGAATGTTGCTCAGAGTTCACCGAGTATGTGTTTCCAATGTACGAGATCGTGTTTAGGGATCTCGGTCTCACGCTTCCTTTCAGTGATTTCCAAGCCGGGGTG